GAATTGCTGTTGTCTCTGAAATAAAGGAATTTGTTTTGTACAGCGCTGTAGTTCTTAATTTCTTAGGCACTGTAGTTCAGAAATATTAGTTGAATATATCTATCTATGAGCTTATATAGCTTCCATCACTGCAGTGTCTGAGTGCCCAGTCAAGCCTCTGCCAGTTCAAGATTATTCCCTGCAAAATATTCCAAGGACTGGTGCTGTGGTAGCTTTTTTCCATCTCTGGACGCTTAGTCATGGGACTTCTATCACTTTCCTAATCTGTTTTCTAAACGTTCCAACCTAATTTCCTTCTTTGACAGGGTTACTGACCTAATGGATGTGGGGAAGCTGTAGATGTGATACCTCTTGATTTTAGTCAGGCTTTTGAGACAGTCCCATGTGACATTCTCATAAGCAACGTAGGGAAATGTGGTGTTGATGAAATTTGCTTATGAGGTGGTTGCATAACTGATTGAAAGACTTACTCAAAGAGCAGATATCAATGGTTACCTAGTGGGGTCCTGCAGGAGTCTGTCTTGGGTCTGGCACCATTCAGTATTTTCATTCATGAATTCAATAATGGAGTGGAGAGACTGCTTATAAAATTTGTGGATGCTGCCAAGTTTGAGGGTTGCAAGCACTTTGAAGGACAGGATCAGAATTCAAAAGGACCTTGATATATGGGAGAATTGGTCTGAAATCAACAAGATGAAATTCAGCAAAGACAAGTGCAGAGTATGGCACTTGGGAAGGAAAAATCAAATGCACAACTACAAAACGGAGAATAACAATAGGTGATAGTTCTACGGAAAAGGATCTGGAGGGGTTATAGTAGACCACAAAATGAATGAGAGTCAACAATGTGATACAGTTGCAAAAAAGGCTAATATAATTCTGGAGTGTCTTAGGGCTGGTCTACACTGTGGGGTGATCGATCTAAGATATGCAACTTCAGCTACGCAAATAGCGTAGCTGAAGTTGCGTATCTTAGATCGAATTACCTGGGGTCCACACGGCGCGGGATCGACGGCCGCAGCTCCCCCGTCGACTGTGCTACCGCCGCTCGCTCTGGTGGAGTTCCGGAGTCGACGGTGAGCGCGTTCGGGGATCGATATATCGCGTCTTAGCGATATATCGATCCCGGATAAATCGATTGCTACCCGCCTTATCGGGTACCCTATATAGGAATTTTGCATGTAACACGTACCCTATATAGGAGTTTTGCATGTAACACACGGGAAGTAATTATCCTGATCTGTGTGGTACTGGTGAGGCCTTAGCTGGAGTACTGTGTTCAGTTTTGGGTACCACACCTCAAGAAAGATGTGGACAAACTGGAGCGAGAAGACTGAGGGGGGACCTGAAAAGTCTTCAGATGTGTTAAGGGCAGTTATAAAGAGGATGGTGGTCTAATTTCTCCATGTCCGCTGAAAATAGGACAAGAAGTAATGAGCTGCTTCTACCGCAAAGGAGATTTAGGTTAGATATTAGGAAAAACTTTCTAACTGAGGATAGTTCAGTACTGGAACAGTCTTCCACAGGAGGTTGTGGAATCCCCATTGGAGATTTTTAAGAAGACAAACACCTGGCAGGGATGGTCTAGGTTTACTTGGTCCTGCCTCGGCACGGACTAAATGAGCTCTTTATGGCCCTTCCAGTGCTACATTTCCATGATTCCTTGGGGAAAACTGCCCTGTAGCCAAACGATCTTACTGTCTGGAGATCTGTTACTGATTTACAGCGTAAATTCTTTTTGGTTAATTTCTTTCTATTCTCATAGTGCTACTTCCTCTGATTCCCCTTAACTAACCCTCCTCTTAGACAAAAATCTTTATTAAACTCTAGTTAAGGTTGAGAGCATTTATCTGCAAATTAAGGTTGGGGAAAAAAAATCTTTATAAGAAGTTTCGTAGTATTAAAAATGAGGAAAAAAGATTAAAAACCAGGGCAATTCAGTGTTAAGGTCAAACCTTTTAAAAGAAATCCACATGTTTGAAACTATGGAAACACACAGTTGAGACATACAAGCCCTCTTAACTGTGCCCTTGTAATGAGATTGAACTTGATGTTTACACTGAGTTCCCCACTTGTTCTCACCCTAGATCTTTCTCATATTTGCTTGCCAGACAGCTGTCCTCTAGATACTGTTGATTGTTTCCACTAGGTGGCCTTAGGATTTGTATGTACTGAATCATGCTTTGCTCACATTTCTAATCCCTGCTGGCTATGTCATGGTTTGGTTCAGTTCTCATATGGATTTGTCCTTCTGGTTTTGGTGTCACTGGCAAACTTGATCATGGCTGAATTTGCTTGCTTGATTCAGGGAAATTCGTTTGTCTGTGAGGCGCACAGAGTACATCACTGGTGGTCTCTAAATCCTTTAGGTCATGGATTCTCTGTGGGGATTCATGAGCGCACATATCAGAATATCAGGGTTGGAAGGGACCTCAGGAGGTCCTCTAGTCCAACCCCCTGCTCAAAGCAGGACCAATCCCCAGACAGATTTTTGCCCCAAATCCCTAAATGGCCCCCTCAAGGATTGAACTCACAAGCTGGGTTTAGCAGGGCAATGCTCAAACCACTGAGCTACCCTTGCCCCCCCATCCCATGGGACCACTCCATCCCATGTTAAATGGGAGAGAGTCCTGACTGGATGAGGGAAGGATCTCCGAGGTCCCAGTATGGAAAAGGCTGGGAACCCTACTCTAGATCATCAATGATACTTACGAGTCTCATTACTACCCCCTGTAGCGCTCCATGTGGCTTGCTCCTCATATCAAGTGTTTGGACTCTGCCATTCGCTACTCTGTTTTTCCTGTTTATTGATAGACTCTTAATCTGAAGGTTTTATTGAGCCGGCATTTCTCCCGAACATTCATGGTCTTATTATTATTGGGGCACTCCATCCCCTACCTGCCATGAAGTCCCTAATCAAAACCCTTCCTTTTAAATTGCATGGTAGAACCTTTCTATACAACACGAATGACTGGGAAGATGGAGATTTCAATCAGTATTTGACAAATAGTGGAAGCATTTAATGCATTTTGTTTAGGTTTTAATGTAACATTTTAATATTACATTTAATCTGTATGTCGAATAGATTGGCTAATATAAAAGTCAAGACAAAACGTTTTGACGCTATCAAAGCAAAAGTTCAGGAATTCGTTTTGCAGAAATTTGTGGCTCTCTGTTCCGAATTGAAATGAAGGTTGTTGTTTTTTTTTTAAACGTTGGAGCTTCTCGCAGAATGGAGATTCTGGTTCCTGACTTGTTCTAGCGTTTGTTGTGACAGTTACTGAGTGAGTTGTTCAGAGAGCTGTGAATGACCAAGGTTCTGTTCTGATGGAAGGGGCCTCCTTTGGGCTTCCAATATTCTGCCTTATTTAAACTCTTCTGTCCTCTGATTACCCTTTAACAGCAGCACAACATGGTCCTCTTTTTTCTGCTCTCTTTTCTAGCATTACCTCCTCAATCCCACATCCATCCTTTTGGGATAGCACCTAGAGCATCTGGGTGGCAGGGCCATTGCTCTGATCACACACAGTTCCCCACGCTCCTAATTCCTAGTATGGCTTTCCAGGTCCTCAACATGCACTGACCCTGTTTTTTCAGAGAACCTCCCTCAGGTGCTGGATAAAACTGTGACCCAGGGACCTCTTGACGCCAACTGGAAGACGGCACAGGAGGTGCCTACAGGCTGTCAGGGATCCCCTGGGCCAGGTATATACATATATACCAAAGGGTGGTACGTAAGGTGGCTATCGAAAGCCAGCAGCCCACTTGTCATTGTAATCATTGCAAAATGTACATATGGATAATATTTAAGGAGTTATGTATCTATACTAACAATTATGTTCTTAAAGGCTAGGAGTTAAGACAGGTCCCCAGGCAGGAGGTGCTTAGCACTCTCTCTCTGGTCCTGTGGGTATTGCATATTGTATGCTTTGTAATGGGTGCCTAGTTGCACACTGAACCAAATGCTAATCAAGAGATTGCACAGTCAAGAAGAAAGGTATACATGAAAAAACAACCAGCAGGGGGCATCCAGTTTACAAGTAAGGCCGATGGCTTGTGGGAATATAACCGGGGGTGCCAAGATGCACCCTGGATCCTTTCACCGAGGAGGCAAGCTGACACCATGTTACGTCTCATGAAAGAGGGATCCCAGCCAGGCCTGGCTGTAAAGCGCTGGTGAGTAATATTGCATTAGACAGGAGATTATCTTGTTACTTAAGTCTAGGGTCTAAAATGCATGTTGGAATTTTATTTGAAATGTAGCCATTTGTTTCCAGTGCTGCTTCGTGCTATCGCTCGAATCTCTGCACTTGCTAACTACACTTTTGCTTGTTTTCTCTAAACATACCTCAGCGCTGTGTGTGCAGCGGAGCAGTGATCTGAGGTAGAGCTGGGGTGTACAGCTGCTTTGGGAGCAGTGGCTCTGAACTCGGCGAGTGTCCAGTGACCATGGGCTGGATACCCCACGGATACGTTCAGAGGGCTTGGGGGGTGGCGTGTTGCAGTAGGGCCTGTGTAGGCCTGGACGGGAGTGTTTGTGTTGCCAGAGATGTCAGGGAGCTGACCCCAGGCAGGCACAGACAAGGCTCCCTCATGCTAAGGGCAGGTGGTAGCGAGGTGCCTCCCAATCCTGGGGACTGCTGGAAAGCATCACAAAAATCCCCATCCTGGTCCTTAACTGCCTGCTTAGGTAAATCACCTACATTCCTCTCCTCCCTCATCCAGGCTGTACCAAGAAGCAGCGTCTCCTGTCCAGAGGGGGGATGTGATTCCCAGCTAGGCAGACAGCGAAGCTGTTGAGTTTGTTACAAAGCCAAGGGAGAAAAAAGGAAATAGGATTTTTTGGTACAAGTTTTATTTCTAGCTGGGGATGTCATTTAAATGACTGCCGAGGCGCAGCGCGGCCAGGATTAATGCATCCTATTGGACTGGCTTTTGGTCTTGCACAGCCTCGTAGATGGCAAATCCTGTGGCTTCATCCCTCCTGTGTAGCGGGTGGTCTAGGAAAACAGCGATTCTTGGTCACAGGCCGAGTCCACCATGCAGCCCTCTGAAGAGAAACAAAAGCACATAAAAGGAAACGGCGCATGAACTCGGCCACTGGAGTTACGTATAGCTCTGCTAGGTAACACCGTGGGCCAGATCCTCAGCTGATGTAAATGCGTATAGCTCCATGGAAGACAATGGTACTATACCAAGATACACACCTGAGGATCTGGCCTAGGATGTGTGGGTGGTGCCTTTCCTGCCAAGGGAGAGGTATTCTAAACTATTCCTGCTGGGTGAATTTCACCTCTGTGCATGGGGTTTGGCCTGATGTGATACTGCTGCCAACTTTGCCTGGGGCAATGAAGGCAATGCCCAGGCCAATTGAGCCTTCTCTCCTCTGGGAAAGGAGGAAACTGCTGGACTGCCACCAATATTAACTTCCCCACTTCTTCTCTGTCCACAAATACTATGGCCTGAGCAGTAGATAATGGCCCACGGCCTTTGCAGAACTCTTGCCACTTGTGCATGCGCCAGCACTGAAGTAACGGTGCCACTGCGCGCCGTCCAAAGATCTCAAAGTGCTTCCAAACATCAGTGAATGTAGCTCTGAGGCTGAAAGTATAATTAGCCCTACTTTACTGATGGGGAAACTGAGGCACAAAGTGGTAAAGCAACTGGCCCAGAGTCCCTCAGGGAGTCTGTAGCAGAGGCAGGGGTAAAGCTTATATCTACTAAGCCCCTCCTCTCTCCCCCCCCCGTCTCTTAATCACAAGGCCTGTCTTCCCCGTGTTAAAAGTGCATGAGAGCATTGAGAATAGACGTGAAGTGTTATTTTAACAGCCATAAATTGCAGGAGTGGGTGGGTGGGAGGGAGGGATTCTGCTAGTTCATGTGGAGCTATGGTTAAAGTCGAAGCGAAGCAAGTGCTCTCTCACCGTTGTTACAGCAGATCCCAGGGGCCGCGCAGGTCCCACCGTTGGGCCCGCATGGCTTCCTGCCAGACTCGCAGGGTGTCGGCAGGTAATTCTCCTCCTGACATCGCAGGGTTTCTGAGGTACCGAAGTAGCATCCCATCTCCGCTCCACAGCAGATGCTAGGGCCAAAGCAGTGGCCTTTGTTCCTAGGTCCACAGGGGATGCACTGGTGGGAGAGAGAAACCCAAAGGCCGGTTAACGGGGGAAAACCGCATCCCTTGTTGCTTGGGTCCTGATTCAAAGCCCGTTGGAAAGACTGCCACTGCGCTCAGTGCATGGAGGTGTCTTTCTGCCATCATGTGCCAGTATCTAAGGAGCCCCTGTATGCTTAGCTCAGGCCTAGCGCTTCAGTTCTAGTTTTTCAACTGGTATTAGAAATCTGACTAGGAAGCGAAATGTTCTCCTGGGATCTCTCTGTGGAACTGGATGGGGTGGAGAATGATACGTGCTCTGGAGGGGTCAGAACCCCAGCCACGCTAGCCTGGGCTCGCATCCCCAGAAAGTGAAACCGACGAGAAAATAACGATCAGCACCCCAAACTGACATTGACCCGTGGGGGTGTCACGATTCTAGCTCGGTGGTATGTGTGCGTGAGAGGGTGGGAGAGGGGGAAGCAAACACAACCTGGGAATGGGAGGGATAAAGGATAATTTTGTTTTGCGACTGTTAAATAATTGACGGGGTTAGTTGTCAGCGCAGGGAGGGAATTGTTTGCAAACGTTATGTGTTAGACAGTGCCCCTTTAATAAACAGGTGAAACCAGGCTGAACTAATCCAGCGTGTAACTCCACTGACCACAGTAGCGTTTGATACATTGCCTGTGACTCGTATTTAGAGAACTCCGCTAGGCTTGCTGGGCTGGGTCTCCTAGTGTATTCTGCTGTGTATTTCTTTTATTAAGCACAACGTTTAGTTGTGCTAACAGCTTTCCTGGGCTCCGGCTAGATCATGCTGTTTATGTGAAAGTCCCCAAGTTTTGTCTGAAGATCAGTGTCCCGAGGCGGGCAGTGGAGCAGCTATTGTGATGGGTTCTACAAAACACTGGTGCCTTTGTGCATCAGTTCAGGGTTAAATCTCCTGTCAGCCCTTCCCCGTGCACTTGAAAGCAGACAGATCCTATCATTTGAATTAGGAGTTCATTGGCCAGGGAAAGGGACGCTTTGAAGAAACGGTGCAAAATGCAGGTCACATGAACGAATACAGACCTAACCCCCCACCCCCAGACTTTGCTTTTACTTGGGCCGTCCCAGCCTCATTCACGGCTCAACAGAGAGCAGAATTTCGTCCTATCCTTTTAATACATCAGTAACCATTGGGTGTCTTTCTCAACTCTAACCAGCGCAAATGTATTCCCTCCTCACCCAAATTGTGGCCCTCTTACGCAGTGGCCTTCTGCTGTAGGGAAATATTGCTCCAGAACATTTTGCCTCCCTCAGAACCATTTGATTAAATGGGGTTACAGGGAGTATGATTGGATTTGTTCCCTTTTGCCCTCCTGCTCCCCAGTGTAGCTGATGCTGGGGATATTCTCTCCTCTCATGTGGACAGGATACACATTACATCTGTACAGACTGACTCAGAAGATGATCAGTAAAATGTTCCTCCTAAGCAAAATAGCTCTTGACAGCGTGGCATAGGTTGGGAAAGGCTTGCAGGCCTTTTCTCCCCCAGTCCCTACTGTGCCTGTGGACAGGCAGCGGGAGGAACATGCAGCAGAGCACTGAAAACTCATCTCAGCTAGTGACTGCCCCTTATGTTGCCCACACTGCTCTTCTCCCAACGCCAGCGCTCGGTAACTGGCCATCAGTGATTTGACTGATGCCGCAGCCTGCTGCTGGGCCGCTGGGCTATCACAGCTGTTTCTTGGCTGGCCATTTCCCGCTGGATGGCATTCCTGACATGCCATGCAGACTATGGCATCCCTGCGGTGTTTTCTTCTGTGTTTCAGCACGAGCCTATTAGCATGTGCTTTCAGTCCCCTCAAGGCACCTTGCTCCAGGCTAGTCCCACTGCCACTGCCCTAATCCAGTTTTTGTCCCCTCTGCATCTGAGTCAGGCAGCTTCTTCCAAGCTGCGTAGGCACCCACAAGGGGTTGCTGAGAGCACAGGAGAGAATCTTCTCTGCTGTTAGTCTGGTGCCTGGCATCACAGTGCCCGCTCCCCGCCGGCCCACAGCAACTGGGAGCACAACTGCAGGGAAAGCCCTGCTCAGCCCATGCTCAGTCATTCTGTGGGAATGGGTCATCCACAGGCCAGTCACATGTAGCACCTGTGGGGGGCTGGCACATGCTCAGTGCAGATGGAATCTTCAGAGAATTTATCTGCCAAACTCTGACACATCTCTGTTAAGTAAGTGCAGAGGCTTGTGACATGGCCACATTTGAGTGGTTTATTCCACGGGGCTGGCAAAAGGCGCATCCCTGATACCAGGGCGACCCCACTCCCAAATTTCAGGTCCCGTCTCCAAAGAATGGGGATGCTAGAGCACCTCAACAAAACAGATTTAAGAATTTTTTTTAAAGTGGGCAAAACAATGAATGGTCCCCACATCTCATTCTTGGAAGTGGCCAAGATATTTTAGCTGAACCTTTCAGGAGAAAATTCAGGCTGAGGCAGACACCCAGCATGGTACATTTCAAACCAAGCAGTTGAAGTTTGGCAAAGTTATAAGCAACTGAAAACACAGGCCTGTGTGGGGAAGTATTGGACAACCTTCAAAATAGATGCTGCTCCCAGTCCTGCCTATAAGACAATCTGATATAGACCTCTACACTTGTAACAGTATTTACAATTCACCACCAAACTAGACTTCTGATGTCCTCAATACAGCTGGGCTGATAATTGTAGTGCAATAGTGCCTGGAGAACCTGAGTGAAATGGGACCTGATTGGGCCGGGTGCTGTACACACGCACAGTAAAGCCAGTGTCTGCCCTGGAGGGTTTACACTTTAAAGAGACAAGACAGCTAAAGGAAAGATTATTATCCCCAGTGTATAGATGGGGAACTAAGGCACAGAGAGATTAAAGGACTTGCCCAAGATCACACAGGGTGTCTGTAGCAGAGCTGGGGATCGAATCCAGATCTCCTGCCCCCCTCTCAGTCTCCATCCAGTGCTTTAACCACAAGACCAAGGCTGAAAAGTCTGTCTGCTTACCACTCATCTGCAAAGGGGCTCATGTGTGTTCCATTATTTCTTAAACATACTTTCAGCTTTAGCTGCGTAGGTAATATATTGGCTAAAGAGGCTGAATGAGATCCTGACAATCACAAGATGCACTTCTCTACTGCCCAGGAGTTTGGCATACACTATAGTCTATGCTTTCCTGGTTGGCTGAAAATTGAACACAGAGATGGTTGGAATGGGGCATAGGAGAAGGGAAGGAAAAGAGGGACTTGGTAATGAATATTCGTTAATGCTTGTTCAAAGCTTTACAAAATTCACACCACATCTGTGTGAAGGGCGTCGGTGAGCCACAGTCTAGCTGCTCGTGGTGTTGATCAGGGTATCAAAACATACGCGTGTCGAGTTGCTCGGGTTTAGACAGCTACCATCGCAGCCGGCACAGCTCAGCCCCTTGCCAGCAATCTCCCCTGTCGCGCTCTGGACAGGATCCTTTTGGGCAGGAGGTGAGAGCTTTGGCGCAGTATCAGGGCAGCTTGGGACCGTCACGCTAACAGGCTGTCAATGGGGTGTCTTTACCCAGCCCTAAACAGTAACGGTAAGGAATGCATCACGTACCTTTCTGACATCCATGTCCAAGACTGAGCGCTTTCCGCCGATGGGGCAGTTCTGGATGTAACAGGCCGAGGAGAGAGCCAGGAACCACAAGACGCAGATGGCGAGAGAGTTCTGAGACATGGTGGCTGCTGCTGACCCTGCTTTGCTCTCGAGTGGGCTCAAGGAAGCCCTCCAGGTTTTGTCTCCGCTCCTCCCGGCGTGCCGGTATATATAGCGCCCGCTGCAGCTACTGAGACGTGCCACCACCATCGTCACTCATTTCCCTTAAAAAATACAAGGCATTGCTTTTCACACCAACTAGCACTGCTAATAATCCAGGGTCGAGGATGTGAGGTCAGCGAAGAAGGAATCATTTGCTCCTTGGCACTTATTCCAAACATGGCGAGACATGAGTTGACGTCTACGAGTTTCCTTTAATTGGCACAGTCAATCGGGGCCGCTGGGGGTCAGCGAGCGGAGTTGGCGAGGCCCTCACTTTCCCTTTAGGTCCCAGGACGGGGCGGTTCCCTGCTTTGCTCCTGGCAGAAGAATATTTTCGAACAGTTACATTTCCTCACGCACCTTTCAGCCCAAGAGGCACCTAAAGCAGTACACAAATATCAACAGGCAGCACTTTGTCCACCTCTGGGGTGGAACGCAGCAGCTGCTTGACAGTGCCCAGCAACATCATCGGAGAGTAAATGGCTACCTGTGATGAAGACTGTGGCTTTACACCTCCCCTTTAGCTGACAGCACCCCCCCCAACCTCGTTCAGTACCCTCAGGGGGACAGTGCCACCCCCTGAAACACCAGCGTCACTTCCTGCAGCACCTGTACGCTCCTTGGCTGGCTCCCTCTCAGCAGGTTAGATTGAGGGTTGCCAGGATCACAGGGGTGTGGAGGACCACGAGAGATACAGCAGTTTGCTGCAATATTCCTGGCAAACCTCATTGCGTGACGTTAAATGTTACTGGGTTAAGTATCTTAGGCGTTCGTTGTAGTAAAAACACAAATGGTCATGTACTATTGTGGGATTATATGCAACAGCTCTATGCGGGGACACTTGCCTAATATAAACCTTGGGAAGGGTTATAAACGTCAAAAGACGATTTGAAACAATGTGTCGGACAAGAATGACCTGTTAAAGTGGGGTTTCCCGGAAGTCTCTAGGGGGCAGGGTATGCAAATGTAAACTCCTCCGCCTAGGCAAGAACCCAGCCTTTGGAATCTTCACCCTGAGGAGGGGACCTTTGGCAGCTGATCACTTGTTACATGAGGACAAGGTCAGAGGCCCAAACTGTTTAAAGGAAAGAATGAACAAGTCATGGGTGTTCTTGTGCTGAGCAAAAGGTGTCATGACTGTGTAACCCCAGAAAAACCCTGTGAGGGGGCTGACCCTGTGAGAGCCCCTGTTGGAGTTGGGGTGATCTCTGGTAAGTGTAGTCGCGTAGGTTCTTTTATTGTTTTTAATATGTTTTCTCTTGGATGCTTAGGCAGTCTGACTTGCTGGAGCATTCACAGTGTAGGCAGCTGTGAAAAACCCTGGTCAGGAGGGAGAGAGAGAGATAGGTCTCTGCCCAGGAGGGGTGACAGCTCAGGAGCCTATGCCCTGGCTACACCCTGGAGAGGGAATACAGGTGTAGTTGCCCTGAAGGTGATAAGGTTATTGGATTGAAATTCCTTCATGCCCACCAAAGGGGAGACTAATTTACACAACCATGTGCACCACTTCTGAGTGATCCTGCAGCCCGGAAACTCCAGCTGTCCTGCAGGGTGAATTCCTTGGAGTACCACTGAGCTCCTGTTGCAAGGGCATTCATTTCCTGCCAGCCTTCAGCACTGTAGGGTCTCGGACACCAGGCACATGGCCAGGTTAATGCCATCAGAAGAACAGCCACCGTTTAGAGGAACACACAAACCATTGTGGATTAACCTATGTTCTACCACATCTATTGCCTCTGGTCCAGATCACTGGCTCCAGTGCATTGCAAACTGGGACTAGCAGAGTCTGTTTTTTTTCTCCAGAACAGTTTTCCTTTTTTTTAAGTGAACAAACCCAACGTTTCTGGGTTACAGGCCTGCAGAGCTATCGGAGTAAGTGGCAGAGCCAGTATGAGCAAACTGACCCAGCCACCAAGAAGGAAAAACGGCTTCTGAACAGTTCCGGCAGGAAATACAAAGGCAGCGAAACCTACTCATGGAGAGTCACTCTGAGTGGGGGCTGAGCATAGTTTTTTCTGCTCTTCCCAATCAGCTGATCTGGTCAATTGCAGAAATGGGCTATATACCCAAAAGAGCTAACCCAGGGTCAATATCAGTGTAGCCACTTAAGCCAGGATGCCACTGTCACGTGCGTAATGCCTGACTGAAAGGAAGAGAAAGTACCATCCAGGGGTTAGGTATTAGCCTGGCATTTGGGAGACCTGCATTCAATTTCCTGCGCTGCTCCAGCCTTCCTCTTTGACCTGGGGCACATTGCTGAAGGGGTGGCTATTCTGCAATCCTGGGGGGTGGTTGTTACAGTTTGAGTGCACAGACCTGAGCAGGGCCGGCTCTGGCTGTTTCGCCGCCCCAGGCGAGCGAGCCCCGGCTGGGGCTCGGCTCGGCTCTCCCCCTCTGGCGGCCAGAGCGCCGGGGGCAGGGCAGCGAGCCCCGGCTGGGGCTCGGCTCTCCCCGGGGGCCGGAGCGCTGCGCCGCCGCCCCCCTCCAGGTGCCGCCCCAAGCACCAGCTTGGGTGCCTGGTGCCTGGAGCCGGCCGTGGACCTGAGTTAGTTTTAATCCTGCTAACTCCGATTCTGGAGCAGTCAAGCCCCAGCAGCATGTACTTTCGCGCAGGTGGTACAAGCCCATTGGAGGCCCGGGCAATTATTCGTGGGGCTAGACCACACTGAAGCGTGAACTGTCTCTGCACCGGCACTGCTCCGGTACCAGCGCTAGCTAGATTAAAGCCAGCGGAAAGGTGTCTGCTTGAGCTGCAATCACAAGATGTAGAGACATGCAGTAGAGACATGCCCTTAGTTGCTCTGTGCCTCAGTTTCCTGTTGGTGCATTGGGGATAATAGCACTCTGAGTTCAGGTCTGTACATCACAACGGCTCTGCCACAACTGAATAGCATGGCTGCTTTGCAGGTGCGCGAGTTCTGTCCTCAGAGCCCCCGCTGTGGGCCTGAACCATTTTGCCCAAAGTGACTTCCTCGACGCCCCCATGGTGATTTGCGATCACTAACTTTCTGCGTGCAACAACGCCCCGGGTTGCCCAACGTGGCGCTGAATCATCGGGAGAAAAGCAGATGTCTCGGCACTGAAGATGCGCCGACATCCAGTAATGCTGCTAAGCGTTAATGAGCGAGATTGACAGATAGTGAAATCAGTCAGGGACGCTGCTCACCTTGACCCTTCACCTTCATTAGCTCAATTAAGATCTTCCCGTCTAGCATAAATTCATTAGACATGGACAACGTCCTGAAAATCTTACGTTTATTGACTATATTATCCTGGCACCATCACCACCCATCCCAGGGCCTGGATAAATGGTGCATACATTGCTCCAGACACTTAACAGTAGACTAAGCAGCAACCTTTGTCATCTTCGTTGGCTTGCTTTAATATTTGCTACTTAGCGAGGGCATGGTAGACAATAGAGAGGGTCAGAGGGGCTGTTCCACCCTTGCTTTTGGAATCTGAGCAGGGTCAGCCAGTCAGCGTTAAGTAGGGTGACCGGACAGCAAGTGTGAAAAATCGGGACAGGGGGTGGAGGGTAATAGGAGCCTATATAAGAAAAAGACCCCAAAATCGGGACTGTCCCTATAAAATCGGAACATCTGGTCACCCTAGCGTTAAGCAGTGAGTCCTCACATAAACCAATGAATGGGAAAAGAAGGACACAGGGTAAATACTAATAGCTTTCTAGTGCAGTGGTCCCCAAACTGTGGGATGTGCCCCCATAGCGAGGCCCGGAGGAACATCTGGGGTGTGTGGCAGGGCCTGGGCCAGCCCCCCAAAGGGGGTGGGGCGGAAGCACCACCCAATGCAGTCTGCCCCCAGCTCCATTCCAGCTGCAGCTCAGGCCGTGGGCGGCTTCCAACCGCAGCTCCGGTCCCGCTCCCAGCTCCTGACCAGGGTTGCCAGCAGGGGGCGGACAGGCTCCATTACAGATAATGGGGGGTGCAACATAAAAAGTTTGGGGACCCCTGTTCTAGAGAGCTCTGAAATCTTCTCTGCTGTCATCGGCTGTCGTCCGAGAGCCTGATTCTTATCTTGCACCACTATAAATCTGGAGTGACTCCACTCAAACCATTTAGCCTGATTCCAGTCTCCTGCACGATGGTATAAGTTAAGAGTGACTTCAGTGGAGTTCCGTCAGTACAAAACGAGTGTGAGCTCAGAATCTGGCCCACGAGAACTGCTCTGGCAGTAGAGTAAGTGAGGGCAGAATATGCCCTTAGGGACGGGGGACCGTAATGTCATTTTTCATACAAAGAGCCCAAAGGTTTTTGCAAACCTTAACCGAGTGCACCTCACACACCGTGTGAGGCAGGTAAAGATCAGCGTGCCTGTATTTCACAGATGGGGACAGGATGACCTAGTGGTTAGGGGCACTAGGTTAGGAGACCTGGGCTAAATTCCCTGCTCTGCCACAGACTTCCTGTGTGACCTTGGGCAAGTCACTTAGGCCCAGATCCTCAATTAATTTAGGTGGAAAAGAGGGGCCCAAAGAATCAACAGTGTTATCATGACCCAGTTCAGTGCTCCAGCATTAAATAGTGTTAGGCTGTCAGGAGTGAGCACCTTCAGCTGAACCTGTGGACTAGCCAGACCAGCTCTGGGCGGATTAATACGCTCAAATGGGTCGCGGCAGGACCGCCTGATTGGCTGCAGGGAGCCAGGAGGCCTGCTTTTAAGCTGAGCAGCAGTAGGTCAGTGGCGGCTCAATGACCGTGTCTGCAGCGGGAGCTGCTTCTGTGCCTTCTTCCCGTTCTGCTTCAATCCAGGCAGAAGAAGGCCCAGAGTCCCGGGAGATGGTGGGCACGGAGGCCATGATGGTGAAGCTTGCTCCTTTCCTTTCCTTTCATCAGCCAGCTTCATGATAGCCTGCTCCCAAAATCTCTTTCTGAGGACCCCAAAATAGGGGGGGGGGGACT